ATGAATGAATAATAATTTCTATCTCGTTCTATTTTAAACACGCAGCAGCAATAATTTATTTACCATTAGGTTAATTCGCTACTTATCTTAGAAGAGAGTATAATAATTATAATTTGTAAACAAATAATTCTGAATTAATATTTTGGTTTCAATAAGTATTACTTTGTTTCTTTGATTCTTGAATGCATCGCCTACTTATATCTCTGTTTGCTTAATGTTTGACTAGTAGAGAACAACGTCGGGTGTTAAATCCGCCAAATACACAAACAATTACACCGTCCATTAAAGTTTACATAAATAAATAAATATTCATACAAAACATTACCATTTACAAAAAAGGCCTACGTTTTTATGTTTATAAGTTGTTTATACACAAAAGCTAAAGGGAACAAAACAGAGTTTAAAAAATAGGTCAACCAAGCTCTAGTATGTTTCTTTTTTTTATCGAAGTCCACCACTTCTCTTGGTTAATCTAGCAGAATGAATTATATCTGCCCTAACATGGGTCTCAACTTCCATCCCCGCATATTACCGAAACTTTACGAATATTTGTCTGGAGTTGAATTAGGTATTATTATGTGCATATATAGAAATACAGATTGCCGCTTTACATTATTCTATTGCCATAATTATCTAGTACATTAAAATTTTTAAGAAGGACCGCTTAGCATCAAAAAGTAACAAATATTAGTAAAGATTATCATCTATCTGTAACTTTGTCAACGTAAAATAGAATGAAAATAAATTATTTATAAATCCAGAATACGATTGGTCTATAGACTTACTAAATTTCAATTAAACCCATTCAGTTATTTAGCCATAATTAAATAAAAAAAAAAAACATATATCACGAACTGTCACATTCATAATATTAGTACGCTAAGCTAAATGCAACTACAGCTGTTAGAAGCTTTAGCTGTTTTGTGAACTGAACTGCAAAAATTGTTACAGTACATTGCCCTGTGTGGCAAGTTTAATCAACATTCAACACTCTATGTCCACCCTTACTATGCGTCCACTCGAGTTCCCAGTGTTTACTTTTAGCTTTTTGAATTCAATTAAAAATGAAGGTTCCTACATACTTCATACGTAAACACATATAGTTAATTCAATATCAAATATTTACTCGTCGCCTTTATATTTAGTTGACAAACACTTTAATATCCAAACACTATTTATGTATGTTTAGAGGAATAGTAAATAGGTCGAGTCGAGTATTTATTTCCAGGCATCACGTAAAAGTAGAAACCACTAAATTAATTTAATAAAACTTCTATTATAAATCCATTTAGTTAAGTCAAATATAGAAATGTAAAATATAACTTAAAGAAAAATATTTGATTCCAATTTTGAATATTCAATATACAATCTCGCAGCTTCTTAGATTTTGTTAATTTGGCAACTCTTCGCATTGAAGGTTGCATGTATAGAGTTTCTTTCGGCAAATAATATAAAATGTAATGAAACAAATAATTACTTGAGGAAGCCTCGTTTAGAGGTAAAACACGTATTGCGACATGTATATAGGTAGAATAACATAAAATTGAAGATCATAGAGTGTCTACTTAGAGAGTAATCAATTCTTTTTTTTTATACTATTACGATGGCAAACAAACATACGTCATATGGTAAACAATTACCGTAGCCTATAGACGCCTGTAATACCAAAAAGGTCACGCATATTGCTGATCCTTAAGAAATCTTATTACGCCCTTTATTTAAATGTTAACAGTCACACGTATATTAATAGAAGCGGGTTTAAACAAAATATTTCCTATTAAAAAGTAATATAAAATGTATTTATGTTGTAATGGATTATCCAAATTAACGCGGTCGAGACAGAGAAGCGCAAAAGTCAATTAGACAGTTTGACATTACACGTAAGAGACTTAGTAAGCCAAACAAAATTACAATTTGTTTAATACGGAGTCTTTAAAAACTTGTGAAACCCTATCCCCCTGTCCTTCCTCGTTCCTTTTATCCTTGTCTTAACCTTAATCCATTCACGTCCTACTTTGGCCACCGGTCTCTCCCCATAGGAGGAAGATAAATAAAATAAATATAGTCCGTTTCAATATAGCTTAATGAAAATATACACAAACAAATAATTGACTCGTCTGTTTGCTGATACCCTATAGTAATACGAAGGAAAATAATAAATCAATTGATTAAATGTTACTATTAATTACTAATTTCATTTAACAAAAAAAATCTGTTTTTCTACAAAACTTGGTTGTCTTTTCATTGAATATCTATTAAAACATTTAAAATATAAAAATATAAATATGCTCATGACTATAGTCTACAATTGAATCATCATCATGTCCTTAACTGTCTTCCCCATAAGCCTTCCCCATAAGGGGAGTTTTGCCAGTAGTCGCCACGCTTGGTGGATTAGCAACCGCAGTTAGGATTTTAGAGAAGTTTTAAGAGGGAGCATCCCTCGACCATTTAGTTCCCTTTGTCGCTTCTTATGACACCCACGGGAAAGGGAGGAGTGGCCTATTCCGGGACCACATGGAATTGAATAGCCATAGGCATTTGTCGTCTGTCGTCGTTATTAAATAAATATAGTAGATTGTAAAATATTGTATATAATAGATTCTAATATATATTAAAATCAACTGTAGCAGAAGACGAGCTTACCATCGTTAGTTCCATTCATTAATTTAATTTGTTATGTTCTCCATCACTCGAGAATTTATCGAAAGTTTATATAGTTTTTAGTGTCAGCCAGATTCGAACACATGACCGTTGAAGTCTAAAAATCAAAGTTGCATACCACTAAGCCTTCCAGAGAAATATCTCAGTAAACTTCTCGTATTACCACGCAGATTAGATGACTTGATTTATTTAGAGATTTCCTTCTCGCTCGCCCTTTTAACTGTACTTTTAAAAGTATTCAAAGTTAGCTGTATCCCGCAGCTTTATCCGCATAAATCAATACATAAAATATCCTATGAGCTGAACTGTTTATATTCTGTATATATCTTTGTACATATCTTAGTATCGTAATATATATTTTGGTATCTGTGGACCAAATTAGATTCAAAGCCGTTTAATACTTTTTACATTAAAGATTAACAAACATCCATCCATCCATCCATCGCTACAAACTTTCACATTTATTATTAATAAAACTAACTGTAACCCGTTACTTCACCCGCGTTAATCAGCTAATAAAGTATGCTATGTGCTAAGTTAGGATATAACCTATCTGTGCACGAAATTTCATTCAAATCCATGTAAAAGTTTTTGCATGAAAGAGTAACAAATATCCATCCATTCCATCCATTGTTACAAACTTTCGCATTTATAACATTAATAAAATATAACATTGATGTAAAATATTTGCCACACACAGTATTGAACGAAACTGCCGCCCACTATTACATTTGTGTGGGCGCTATTATTTTGATGGCTGGCTATTTTTAGCTTATACTAGATCAACTTTTTCCGAGACTTATTCGATGGCGACAGGTGTTTTTATATGATATCTAACACTCAGCTATAGTATTAATAACTTGACATTGATTTATCACATACTTATTGGACCATAATTTATAACTATATATAATATGTGTATATATATAGTATTAGAAACCCTCATTGAAATATTTGTAATTTAGCATTCCTAAGATTTTCTCATCACAATAATAGTAAAATAATAAATACATATTACACAGCGACATCTAGATCTAAACTAAGCAGAGTTTTTACTATGAATAACTAAATAACTAATAGAAATACTTAAATACTTTTTTTTTATATACAACTTAGAATGGCAAACAAGCTGACGACCCACCTGGTGGAAAGTGGTAACCGTCGCCTATAGACATGAACAGTACCATGGACATAACAGAGTATACTGTTTCGCCCATGATACCCCCCTATGTGTTGCCATTCCTGAGGACTCAGGTATTATTCCTCCGTACCCAGTAAATTCACGCCATATTTATATTTTTTCATAGGTACTAAAAGGGTCTCGCTATGGAGAAGTTTAAAAAACGCAGCGCTAGACTATTAAGCTCGTTGATTTAATACTCTATTATAGCATAAGGTTCCCACTGCGACGGCATTCGTGAATAGAGATTGTACTTAAGTAAATGTCACATACGATACGAGTAAAAGAAACTACGGCGGCAAAGGAAATAAACCAGACAACCGATCGCAACATCTCTATAGGGACTTGTCGGAATGTAGGCAACTTTCTGTACTTAATTATATTTCATAAAGACATTTCTATCATCGTTTCATCAACGTAGAGGTTTATCGATAAAACTGCCATTTCATATTCGCCTCACGACGAGTAATCGTTTGCCTCCTGAATTCTCTGACCTAGTTCCTTAAATCGGTCTTTTTGGTTATTACTATTTTTTTCCGTTAGAAAAATAATATACTTTTTCTTTTTCTATTTTTGTCTTCGTGGCTGTTTATAAATTGGTTATATATGTTCTAATGAACCAAAATGTATCACTATTTTAACTTAATCGGTTTCAAGAAAGATGGAGGGTCATCGTCAGGAAAGAGTGGTGTTTATATAACATAGCCATCCAGGAGTCAACTAATACACCCTGTATTAGTCTTTCCAGAAAAAACTTAACTTTTACGATGCGTTATTATTTATTGTGCTTTTTGCCACAAACTTTTGCAACCCGGCATTAATATGGGCTTGTAGTCAAATCCATTACAGTTTATCACAAGGCATGCATAATACATCGGTTTCAAGGGTGGAATATGGCAGGAAAAATACAGGGCGGGAACGGAAGCATAATATCTATAAAGAGGGAAGCATAACACCTTAGTCCTTCACCATAGCAATGCATGAACCCCTCACACACGGGCATTTCAATATATTTTATGATATCCATAGTGCTACTCGTGTCTATAGAAGATGGTTACTATTTTCCTCTAGGAGGGCCATCAATTTATTTGCCATTTCCAGTTACATATAAAAAAAATACTTAAAACGAATACCAATATCTTCTTGTATGTTACAGAACCGTACTCAGACCCACATTATGCCAGCGAGTAGCCAACGCGTTATGGTGCGACGAGTCACTCGAAGGTAACCATAAAAGCGAGGCGAATTCCTTGTACTTTGGCTCTGCGAAAGGCCGGCCGACACTTAATTAAATTTTGTATTTATATGTTGTCAACATATATAAGCTAAGTGTCTTCACAGTTCTCCTGACTCTGATGACACACTGCCTGGGGACGAGAGTGAAGAATACGGAAGAGATGACACGTTCCTTATGAATACACACACTGAGAATAAGTTTTACGGTAATCACTTTTTTAGTGCTAATACAACTTGAATTCTGATTAACAACTATTTATGCATGGTATTTCTATGTCTTATATTATATTCATACCTACCTAGAATTAGCACGATATTTTGCAAATAGCGACTTTCTAGTTATGTAATTAATATTTTTTTATGCAACTTTAAATGACAAACAAGTTGACGGCTCACCTGCTGGAAAGTGGTAACCGTCGCATATAGACATGAGTAGTACCATGGACATAACAGAGTATACTGTTTCGCCCATGATACCTCCCCATGCGTTGCCATTTCTGAGTACTTAGGTATTATTTATCTGTACTCTGTAAATTCACTGCCGTATCCTACCTACCCTTCAAGCCGAAACACAACCATGCATACACAACTGCTTCACAGTAGAAACACGAATGGGAGAGAGGTGCCCAAGCAAACGACTTTTGTACAAAGTCTGGTATTTTTAATTAATGAATACGCAAATCAAAGCAAAAACTGCATATCTTCTACACTGCACTTATTTTATTAAACCGATAGTCTAAATTATTTAGGACTTAGAATAAGTGTATTTGGCTCGTACAAAATTTAAAGTATATTAAGTAAATTTAAAGTTACTGTAACTGCTGTCTAAAATACTAAAAACTGTATATAAATTAGTCGTTTAAAAATAAATTCTATTTATCTCACAATTTTATCGAAAAATTTGTTACAAGTAGACAATTTTATTTAATACATTACAATATAGTTTGTCATATCTAGTGCTTAGATACAACACGTGTAAGGGAATTGTTTTTGAAAACTGACGAAAAAATGTCGCGTTTATTTTCATATTATATTTAAAATAGTTGATTTTTTTTCTTTTTGTATAAGTTGTATTGTGATAAAAAATTTTAAATTATGTAATATTAGAGAAATAGGTTTACATAATGAACAATGATAGACTCGGCCCTAAAGTAAAAAACTATTCCACAACTTTATATATTAATTAATGATTTATTATAATTGTTATATAATAAATTTGCCAAGTATAATAATAATATTAACAAAACAATTTAATGCCAGGTGCAGTGCCCGGCGGTTCAAGCGGGGGTTCGTCGCGCTGTGGTCGCTTCTTCGACGCGCTATACCGCCAACTCCACGCCATGTCGTATTTGTGTCCCGGTCTATTCCCATGGGTGGACTGCGGTCCGGCTACTGACCTTTCAGGTATATACGTTATCTTATTATTAAATTAATTTAAAAATATTAAAAATCATTTTATCTAATTATTCGTATAAACGAAAATAAAGTCCATGTTATCAAAATTATACGAACAGAAATTTCGTAAATATTCTCATATTTTATTACTAAAAAAATATAAAATTTATAGATTTTTTTTATAAAAGCAAGGCAAACAATAAAAAAAATTTTTTTTTCCTTTTCAATAACATTGAAAAGCCAACATTCAGCTCAATTGGTAAGCTGTTTTTATTTAAATCGATTGAGTGGTTAAACCGTGAAGTCTACCACTTATAATCTCACTAAAGATGTGCACTTAGGCCTATTTAATTACGCTCTAGACTCCATTACAATTAAAATATGTGCACAGTGGAAAACCCTGTAGCTTATACTTTTATATTTCGACAATAACTTCAAATACCTCGAGTTACTTTATTAAATGACAAATTAGACAAATTAAGCAAATAATTTTTACACTATTATGTGTAATATTCACCGTATAGTATACATATAATATTGACGTGAGGTCCCGGTAGAATGGGCCACCCCTTCCTTTCCTGTAAGTGTCATAAGTCGTGACTAAGGGAATTTTATAGTCGAAGAATGGACAGCAACGTCTACAAAAAACATCACTAACAGCCTAACTGTGTTTGCCATTCTGTCTACCAAGCATGGCAACTACTGGCAAAACTCCCCTTATGGGAAAGACTTATGTTCAGTAGTGAACAATTAATGGCTGATATAGTATGTTTAATATAGTAGTAATATATTTATGCTTGCTTCATAATCGCTCATGACTAAGGATCACGAATTGATTCCGAAACTAGTCGAGCTTTTACGATCTAATTACATGTAAGCTAAACCGGTAGTTATTACAATAAACTACATTTATTACTCGAATGATAGTATTGATATGTATAACATTTTAACACACTTACTCACCTTTCGCTGGTAACAAGTTCAATCCCCCAAGAAATATCTATACGTCAGTGAAACCCGTATCAAAATACGTTAAGTGGTTAAAAGAAGAAATATAGAGATGAGACAACAACATTATTTTATATACATATTTGACAGTTCAATAAGCTTCTTGAAAAGAGTTCTGACTTCACTCTAACATAATACGATAGGTATTTTCAAGCGATGCAGTGTAAAATTATCTAGAAAATTGCGATGTAGAAAATTGCTATTTGCTATTTTCTAGCTTCTACTATTTATAACTACCCTTTATAGTGACGGGAATATATTGGATCCACTGCTCGAACGTGACCTCCTCTAATGATAGAATGGGTCGTAACTAGATATCGAAAGAAACAAAAGCTGCTTAACCTGCCCTTAACCCACGTAATGACTATTATAAATTGTCGATATGTTACTTCAAAGTTTCTTTTTAAATGTAAGTATCTAAAGCTTAGATCTAGATGGAAAAGGATTATAAGTAGGATCTTTTTTTTTAATGGGTGATAAGGGAATGGTAACCCCATCCGCGCTATTGGTATACAACGGCGGGGCACCAGTGAGGGATGATAGATGAGGATGAAGCAGATCAGTTAGCCCATCGTGACGAATTCAACAAGAATTGTTCACGATGGTTTCCAGGGGGAACCACGTGGAGGTCGACCTGATATTGCATATTGCTAGCAATGTCGAACTCCATTGCGAACAATCCCTTTCCCCCCTGTAAGTAGGGTCTAGTAGCCCCAATTGGCTAGAAATGTACCCCGTTTTATCAACATCCACGTTTTAGAAACCATTATGATTAATTCCTAATGAATTCTTCACGATGGACCAGTTTGTCTTCATCCTTACCTATATCATATTGCATATGGGGGCATAGCACAGAGTCGAATGGTGTATTTGTCCTACAAAAAAATGTTTGCGTATATTGGTAAATATAAAACCAAAAGATAGCTGCAAACCGCATTTTATCAAAAATAAAATATTAACTTTTCCCTCCATCTATATTCTTGAGGTAGCAATGTACGTTAGACAAAATATTAAATTATATAAATTTTCAAAAAAACCCCGTCGCAAAAACAAAATAGAATTACCAGAACCAAAAATGACAATTTTTAATAATCCCACTGTATCGATACAAATTTATAATAAAATTCAAGAAGACATAAAGAATGAAAAGATAGATAAATTATTTCATATTAACCTAAAAAAATATTTAATAGCAAATTGTTTTTATTCAGTTGACGACTTTTTAGCCAGTTGAGATGGAGAAGTGCGCCATGCCACGGTTCAAATCACACATGACTTGCAAATAATTAATCAGATTGACAAAACTATTATATACCTAAATAACTAGACTGACTTCAAATTATTTTTATAATGGTTCAAATTATTGTTTATTTTGTTTAAACTAAATTGACATTAATGCATGTATATTAGCTACCTATCAATATAATTTTGCTACACCCAAACAGGGTTTCATGTACTTACTCATCGTAATAACATTGTACCAACTCTGTATTATGTACATGAATGCATTATAATAAAAAAATAAATATCATAAATTTGTATACATTGTACATACACGATACGTACGAGTACCTTTCATAAAAAAAACTCCATATCAATTTCCATCGCATGGTTTAGAAGAAGTAAGCAGAGAAACACATAAACGCAGGCAACAACTCTATTTAATGCTTTTTAAAAACATTGATAATGTTACTTTAAAAACTATTTTTAATGTATCTAAAGCATAGATCTAGTGGGATCATCTGTCTTAGAGACATATGAGTGTACAAGTGCTGTTGGAAATAAAATTAAATAATAAGCATCAAAGACCTAAGAGAACATATTTAATTCTTCAAAGTCTAATTCTGTAGATCACCTTTTACAGTTTACATCATTTACTAATACGAGTACATGTTTAAATTAATTAATGCATTTAATCATTGAAGGGTTTTTCATTTACCGATTCGGTACCTTAGACTTTTTCAATACATCGTCTTTACATATTACTGGCTGCCGGCCTTGACTTTATGAACTTTCTTTAGGTTCACTCACTTTTTCTTATGGAGATTTTAAAACACAAATTTTTTAATTCCTTTATATAAAATTATCCTAATAATTACAAATACAACAAAAAAGAATTAGCCAAACAGATGCAGCCATGCTGAAATGATGCGTTTACAAACATTCGAAAATTACCGACTGTATAATATACCTTAACAGGTCGACCCCCACACAAGGGCCTCTAGAAATAAATAAATAATAAAATAAATAAACCATCGTGTTTCATTTTTTATGAATTCGTCACGATGAGCCAACTGACTTGTTTTCATTCCCACCTGTCCCTCACTGGCCCCGCCAGCACTCCATTCCATTAAAATCCATTAAAAAAAAATAAACATTTACAAAAATTCATTTAATACAGTCGAGCGATTTCGGAGATTAGCGTGAACGAACGTTGCGTGACACGGAGTTTTATATATTAAGATTTACATTAATGATTCCAAAATCAAATAACATTGTGTAATTTTATTTTATATTTGCTTCAGGAATGTTCGTAATTAAGTCGGTGGGCGTGATGTACGTCCTCATCATCGTGTTTGACATATTCGCTGCATATGGAAATCCTGGCAACTCGACGTTTACAACGGTCGTCATGATGTTTCTCCTCATAGGGATCATAGGCATTCTGCTTCTCATATCAAGGAAACCGCAAAACCGGTAAGAACTAAATTATGTAATCAAAATACGTAAGTTCGACATTTTCTCTACGTGTGACAAGCCTAGACAGATAAAAAAAAGATCTATCGGTAATTTTGCTTACGTTTCCACACTATTTGAAAAACATAACAGACGCTGGATGTTGCTGTCTCATTCTATTCCATGGTTATAATAACGAATGATGATGAAATGATGAATGATATCCGTTTGCTAATTGTCCAAATATGGCTTTAAAATGAACATGGGGTATAACCACGAGAGATTAGTTAACGGAAGGGCCAATTTCCATATTAGTACAATATTTGTTCTTGATCATGCTTATGTTTAATAATGGACTGTAGCAGACTGATTATAATGATGATATTATGTTTTAAATTAAAAACAAATGTATAATATTTGGAAATCTTGAAAATGTAGAAAGTAGATATTTAGTTAATATTTTTTAGGATATTTATGATAAATAGTACCTACTTTCAAGCTACTTTAAAAATGATCACAATTTATTTGTATATATACATATATTTTCTGTGTCCATTCAATCATAATAGTTTATTCTGGTTTTATTTCCATAATTGAGTGATATTTTTTATGCAACTTAGAAGGCAAACCCACCTGATGGAAAAAGGTTGTCGTTGATGGTAACCGTTGTCTATAGACATGAGCAGTACCATGGACATAACAGAGTATGTTTCGCCCATGATACCCCCCATGCGTTGCCATTCCTGAGGACTCAGGTGTTATTCCTTTGTTATGTGGTGTTATATTACTTTACTCGTAAAATATAAACCGATGTTGTTTGTTGTCTTGATTATACCTTCTCAATTCGGAAGCTACCCTCTCTATAGGATTCATTGTAACAAGAAAATAAGCAAATAAAAAAAATATATATTTTTTTTTGTGGAACAAAGTTTTAAATAAGAAAAATTGATATTTTCAGAGTGGCACTTATATACACTACTCCGGGCCTACCATTCGTGCCGGCTACTGCAATCCTGGTCAACATCTATTTAATTTTAAACTTGTCGATACTCACCCTTGTCCGGTTTACCATATGGATGATACTTGGTAAGTTTTACAATATAATAGCTGTATCTCGCGACTACGCTCCGTGACGTAGACTAGCTTAATCTTCTTTAAAAAAAGAAGCTATCAAATGCAAAAAAAAATCAAGTGTGACATTTCAATTATTAGCGCATTCAAACTAGCAAACTCTTTTGCTTTAATATACTCGTAAATTTACAGTCGTTTAATAGCTATTACCCTACTTTTCACTGAGTTCATACATAAGTAAAGATGATATAAATAAGCACAGTAAATGAATATTTGATAGAAACGCAATGTTGGAACTATACCATTAAAGAATACCTGCAAAGAATCTATATTTCATGATCAGGTTTGGTGATGTACTTCAAATATGGCATAAAGAATTCTACCCTGGAGACTGACCCACCCGTGCCCCCGGCTCCCACCCCACCGACGCCGAGTCCTCTGGAGAGAACGACTATACCGCCGTGCACGAACCAGAATCGCCCCACTGGGGACCGTAACATCTTTGAAGGAGATGGCAGCGGACTCTATGGAAATCTTGATCAGTAAGTTGTCGCAACTGTCTTGAAAATTGAGGATGTTTTACAATTTTTTATAGAGATCTTCGTTGAATTTGAATTGAATTCATAATCATGTCTGTAATCGATCTATTCACATATATTTCGCATAGTGATTGTGTCAATATTGAAATAATAAATTTTATAAAAAATAATATTAATTACTAATAACACGGAAATGATAATCAGCATATGCTACTAGAGGCATCAAATCGCATCACTGTCTACCTCGCTCTCAGAAAAAATAAAAAAAAATAAACAAAAACAAATCTAAACAATATTGTCAGTAGATACGTTTTCGTGCTTCATATCTAACAAGACAGTAAGACACCGAACATTGCTATCTCATTCTATAAATAATGAGGTAGATAAATGGTGCAATAATGTATCTGTAGATATACAAATTTGCTTTTTACAAACATTGAGATCTTAAGTGAAATTTTACCCCCATATCTCATCCCTCGAAAGAAACAAAGCACGCAAACAGGTTGCTTTATACTTGAACTACCTAAATAATCATACATATTCAGACTACTTAGTAAAATATTCATCCGCTAAGATATTAAATCTACTTAATTATTAAGCTAAACTTTGATCAATAAACTATTAGAGTAACTAGATTAATACGTTATCTAACCAGCTAGTTACTTTAAGTCGACGAATCGACATCTTAGACTACAGATAATAATATATAATTATTTTGTTATAATTAATGTATCTACATTAAATTATAGGCTGACTCGATGGGGTGTTATGGAGTACTTTAAAATTGTTCCATACCATACAATTCCATACCTACATAATTATGTTGTTTTCGAAATGATTCGGAAAATTTTCAAAACATAATTAAAAGAACTTAAAAAGGAAAATTAGAAATAATATTAGTGAGACTTCTGTCACGACCGTACTTTTAAGAATTTTGTCAGTTAACAAAAGATTAACGAAAATAAATATGGCTGTTTGCATATATAAATGACTATAAATAAGTATATATTGAGCAGTTACCAAGTGTTTTATGGAGAAGATTATAACTAACTCAACTTGCAAGACAAGCTAAAATCAAATCTACAAGTTGAGTAAAAACATAAAAAAATTTAATAGGTCACAATATTACAGGAGAAATCTTGGATGTAGAAGCAATAATGCATTAAATAATTCCCCTCTTGCCCAGTATTTTGTATATAATAAACAAAATTTATTTTAATGTAATACTACTATTTAAATAAATTTAATAAAGTACCTATGATTTCACCAATCGCCTAACTAGAGAGGAAGAACTGATTCATCTCTGCACAGTCCCTTCCAGAAAACGTCGAGGTTAATTTCTTCTGCCACAATGGCCAAACTGTCCTGACGTAGTTTTCATCATCCTCCATTTTATACTCGTATAAAGTAAAATGAAAATCACTTTTTAAATCAACAAAATAAATATTTTTTACTAGTAAAATAGATTTATTTTCCAAATAAACATATGATGAATACCAACAGGCACTTTTTATTTTTCCGTACTAACTTCACAACTGGAGTCGCCGTGTTTGTATGGAAGGCTCAAATTGTTCTGACATTTAATGAAATTAAGCTATGTACGTGTATATGCATTCTGTTAGTTTATTAATAGTACTGCAATTTTGATCACTGTGTACACCATATATATATATATATATATATATATATATATATATATATATATATATATATATATATATATATATATATATATATATATATATATATATATATATATATATATATATATATATATATCCCACTATTCTATCTTCTTCCATAAAAAAAAGCAAAAACACAATATCTTTTTATTTTATACCACAAAGGCGAACAAGCATACAATCCGTCTGATGGTAAACTGTGACTGTAGTCACCACAAGGGGTGCACGTAATACCTAAGGATATCACGTGTGTGTTTGAAGACCTTGAAGAAACCTTAATATACCCTTTCTGAAAAACCCCATACTGTAGTCTCTAGGAAAAACCTCGGCAGGAAGCTCATTCCATAGCCTAAACATTCGTGGGAGAAAATTTCTCCGAAACCACACTGTGCGTGATCATTTAGGTTGAAGCGTGTGAGGATGAATTCCCTTGAATTGAATTGAATATGTGCGTCTATGTAAATATTAATATAGCTGATTACACCGCCTTTTCTGTTTACAAGTATATTGAGAGCCACTTCTCCATTAATTACAGGTATTCAGACCCACTGCTCACGTGGCACGTAACTGAGCTGGAGCCGGTACAATCTACCAGTCGCACCAACAACACGGCTTACGTCGAGTCACGGTAATTATATAATTTGCTTTTATTACCATATATTTATTACAAATTACTTTATCAATTTGGTGATCCATCTTCTAAAAAGTCTCAAAATGGGTAAGTATCCACTTTCGAATATTTTTTGTCTGTCAAAATAAAACGCTTATAAGGCCTATGAAGGCGATGTACATTTTGTTTGAAGACATAATTTGTTTTTACAGCTAGATGGCACTGTCTGATATCTCCAGTCCCCTTAAGTAAGTCCAAATAAATCCATCGGTAGATATGATTAAGCTCTTGTTCTATCGCATGCATATGTATGCAGAGTAGAGTGAAAAGTATAACGTCAATCGTTTTAATCTTTCTCATAAGCGCAATAACAAAAAAACTCTTTCTATTGATATATTCGTTTGCTATATCTCAAAGGGAGCCTAATAAGCTTATTTATTATACTTACTTTCAAGGTACCCCTGTTCAACTTTGGTGAACGTTTTCAACTGTACTTTTAACTTCGAGTACCCAAGAAAAGCCAAGAAATACAGAAGGACGCATATTATAAAATATTTTCTAAGACAACTTTCCAATAAAATCAAAAAAGTTCACCAAAGTTAATCAGGGGTCACTCTTGTTGACCTCACCTAATTTGTTAAGTCTCTATTTGTTGAAAAGCTTTTTAGTAATGGGCTATTTATTAAATAATTATTTTTTACAGTTACAACGCCAAAACCAACAGCACCAGTTCCCATGCTTCAAGCCGTCCACCATGGGCCTATCCGGACTACGATACATGGGATGACTAAGTCAAATCCTCAAATTTTATTATACCACAGCCTCCATTCCAATTTAGTTAAACTTAGGTAAACTCTTCAAATACATTTGATCTGGGTTTATTTTATACCTGAATTCGTCGAAAATTTTTATTTTATATAACCTTACAATTTACAATCATAATATCATAATTAATCGTGATAAAGTAGATAATAATTGATGTTAATTCAAAACGGTCCATAACCGTACTTAGGATACAATGTCATAATCAGTAGATATGTTTCGGAACATTTAAATGTAATAGATGTTTGCTACTTCACGTTCAATAATACCACTGATCTTATATATAACTGTCTATACATAGTAACTAAATTACTGACCGGTGGTTATTATCGGTACTATGGCTAGAAATGACTTAATAATCCGTACTTTTGAAACTTTATCCTACTGGGATACATCTTTAAATTATATGTAGTCGATATGTTTTTTGGTCTTAACAAGTATAATCATGAAATTACCACAGAGAACAATAAATATGTGACAGAATAAAATTTTTCATATTAATATTTTTTTATAGTAGTCCCATATGAAATTTGGTTAACCATCTTTGTAGTTAAACGATAAAAGTAGATAGGTTGAATAAGGGAAGCGAGTATAGACTCACGAGACTTGTTTAGGGCGAACTAATATATATTTTTAATTAGATATGTGTAACTAATTGTAAAATGTATTAGGTTGGTATATGCAATACACATAGCCAACCGATCAATGCACAAAATTATTTTCTTATTTTATTTTTATATTAAAGCTCAAAATTTTAACCGTACCTAAACATATCAGACGAATTTCTACAATCTATAAAATAGAGGGTTTTCATTATTTATCTCCTACCTAGTTTGAAACGTGAATGATTATTATAAATAAGGCAATATTTTGTATGGAAATATACTGAATTGTTTTACGTTGATACTACACATTATTTTTATATGAGTTTTAAAGAAATTGTTACTATAATATAATAGTTTCAACTATTTCCATTTATTTACCTCATTGTTGAATGTTAGAATATAATAGATACAAAATTTTATATAGACGCTCGATCCACAGTTTGCTCGCGCTAGAAATTATCCTAAGTGTTAATCAGGGATATGATCTGTATTATTACATTTAATGCCGCTCTACATAATATTTTGTATCTACTGCCCTATTGCTGTTATTTAGAATAAATACTTTTATCCTAAAATTGTTGTACGATAAATGTTTTGTGTTAAGAATATGTTGTAATATAGAATTGTGTTGAGAATTTCTGTTACTATAATATTACGTTATAGTGTTAACATTCGGTAAATACTCTGTATAGTTTATTATAAACTAACTAACATGTTATTGTCGATACAATGTATACCTATATACATACTAATTATGATGATGAGTAACACCTTCAATGAAGCAACAAACTAAAAATTAATAAAAATCAAACAACAATATCACGACAAAAAGTCTTCCGATGCTTCTGGTAATCTAAAGATAGTATAGAAAAATACAACTCGAACAAAACGATTGAGGTAGAAAGGTAGGAATCCATTTAAATTAAATTTAGTTTCAAAGAGTAGATCTTGAATAAAAACATATTTAACAATTTTTAAACCCTTAATTCAAATCCGGTAACCCGTGGCACGTAGGGCATCTATGCAGATTTGATACTGCGCGTGAAAGAGTGGTAGGAAAGAATACTATTGATGTTGCCAAATTTTACTGCACTATCCTTAATGTATAACAGTATTTGAGATCAGTTTATAATATTATAGGTAATAAAAATTATAAAAACACTATGAATTTGAATTATATACACTTAATCAACCAATAAACACTCCTAGTGTGATTTTGTAAATGTTTACTCAGTTGATAAAGAAGCGCACCTATGTGCGCTTCCATGATCAAACATTTTCTAGGAAGCTTTGATCTTATACAGGCAATTGGTTCATAAAAGCTCCTAACAAGGTTTTTGTCATGTATACCCAGTCTATACACAAGTGTATCTAGGATAGTTTTGGTCATATACGCCCAATAGACACATAAACGCACTTAGGACAATTTTCGTCATATACACCCAATCAATACATAAGTGCACCTAGAACGGTTTGGTTATATACACAAATTTATACTCAAAAACACCTAGGATTATTTGCCCCATATACACCCAGTCGATACATAAATACACCTAGGACAACTTTTGTCATGTACACCGAGATGATACGTAAGAGCACCTAGGACGTTTTTTGTCATGTCCATCCAATCTATACTTAAAAGCACCTAGGATGTTTTTTGTCATATACACGCAATCCGTACATAAACATACCTAAGACATTTTTGTCATGCACACCGAGTCAATACATAAGAGCTCCTAGGATGTTTGTCATGTATACCCAGTCGATACATAAACTAACCTAGGATGGTTTTTGTCATATACACCCAGTCGATACATAAAAGCACCTAGAACTATTTTTGTCTAATATATCCAATTTATATTTAAATGCACCTAGAACAGTTTTTGTCATGGAATCCCTACATACATAAATGCACCTAGGACAGTTTTTGAATAGATACATAAGAGTTTCTAGAATTGTTTTTGTCATTTACACCCAGTCGATACATAAATGCACCTAGAACGTTTTTGTCATATACAGTCAATATATAAGCTCTTCATGATCACCATGGTAACGCGAGTACCTTTGAAGATTTAATACTACTACTCACATAAAGCGATGCCCTCTGCTTTTAAGAGTTGCTGTACCACCTACTTTATAAACGACAACCATTGACGTGGCTTTTCATTCACATCGTAGCAATGCCAATTATTGCATTAAATGTTATCCGACTGTTACCCACTCTTAATTTTTCTCGCATTGCCAAACCTGCAAGAACCCTATGCAATGCAAAGTGCCCATTACATCACATTTTGTTTTTCAATCCTAAAAATTTTACATATAAAGTAGTATATAATTAATAGCTATTACTTTCTAATTGTACGGCTAGATAAAACGATGGATGACCTTTCAAAAAGGGTAAGGAGTCTAGTGCAAGTAATTCAAAAATATTTTTCTTGATACGTATATCGGTCACGTTTCGCAGGTTATATAATATTTCTGCAGTGCAAACCGATAAGTACCTAATGTGATATTATATCTATGTTTGATATCAACTTTATTTTCTATTAAAATAAAATTGAAATGAATTCCATATAGTACTATACCATAGACGGTACTTTTTCTATCTAGTAGGTATTGTTTTTTTTTTAATTAGCTACTACATGATAACATATCCTAACAAGCGATATCTATTTGTATTTTCTAATAATTTTATTTTTTATTAATATCTGTTCGTATAGCCATATTATACCATATTTTGAAGACAAGGTACATAAGAATAGTAAAGATTATTTACCTTTTTGTTATACTTCATAGACTTTTATCTCGATTAATAAATACTCAGACATTTTCATTTGTGTATTAATAGAAATGTATGTGAACTTTTATATATCTTTAATGTAAAAATAATTTAATATTCAACATAATACAATATAATATGTTATATACATTTGTGACACCACAAACATGATTAGTTTAGATTATATACGTTCATGTCTAATATTGTACTATATATATACTTAGGTATACCTAAATTCTATGCTGACTATACATTATTTACAATTGCCAATGAATAACTTATCCAATCTCACCCAATTCTCCTGTATGATATTCTCACAAATGTGATATTTTAAGTAATAACTATTTTAAAACTAATATTAAAGCTTTTGGATAAAGCTATGCTGTTTTAAAAATTTCAATAATGGGTCACTCGTTATAGGAATATTATTATGTATCAAAATTTTTCATCTATAAAATATGTACATACAGGATTAAATTGAAAGCAATAGCATTCTTTAAGCTACTGTTCTACCAGTAAACTAATAAATTTTCCCAAAACAAAAATGGATCCGAAAATCTGACAAAGAATTATCTTCCCGTATTTACATGATGCGTCCAACTGTCAAGTTAGTAGTTAGAGGAGACTCAAAACTGTTGTCCACCCTTTACACACCAAAAAGGTTCCTTTTGGTAAAATGTTTGGTTCTATTGGTGAAAGAATGTTAATGAATTCGATTACATCCTGTATAATAAAACACGCTAAGGCTAAAGTTGGTATTGCTAGATATCGTAAGTCTTAGACATTCTTTGTAAGTACCAAACTTCAAGGCCCTATTTCCACTCCTTAATATTAACAGTACCTATTTACTAAAAGTTTATTAACATAATAACAAATACGTTAATTTGAATGTAAAAATAAAAGCTAGGCCTAAATGAGCTAAAATAATGTATATATAAATTATACCTATAACCATTGTGAATTTATCCATTTTACAGTAAAAACTAGTTCACATTTTACAATCACCATTTTCTTTGATCTATTGAAATGTAACTAACCACGTGGCGAATGTAATTGTTTAAATAATTCAAATAGACATTATAATTCGAATTAATTATCAGTAACCAAACAATTGTTCATGCATATGAACATTAATTATAAAAGTACTGAATGAAAATCATCAAAGAAATATTTAAGTAAATCATTTAAATATTGAATGAAATATATTTGAAATACATTTGAATACTAATAAATCGGAATATCCTATTGATGCACTAATCAATACTAATTCGAGTAGTCTGTATGTAGTTTTTTGAAACAATCACTCATTTTTAATTAAGAACTTCTCTCATAAGTATCAACTACATACATATCTATGAGCCTTTTTCGTTGATTAAATTTAAATGACACCGCAGTAATTAACTTTTCTAAACATATTAAAACTAGTTTTAATTATATGTAATTTAAAATTTAGAGTCAACGCACTCAATGAACAGTTTGTCTGTTGGTAATATTTCTCTTTATGTAACCTAAGTAAATAAATACTGGTAAATTTAAATTTTAGAGGTTTTATTATGACCGTTCTAAAGTTTAAAGCGAAGATTACTTAAAATATGTTAACTAAATATGGTACTAAACGCAGGTTTAATACTAATATTTTTTTCTATCAGCCAATCTTTACGATTATTCCATATCGGACTTATAACGCGAAAAAACAAAACAAAAATTTGTCCTCGGACGAAGGAGTTATGTCCTTCGTCCCCGACTGCCATTAAAGTTCATCTCCGATACAAAATGCAGTGGGGGTATTAAATTTATAATAATGGATAGGCCTTATTCGTAAAATATTGTTGTTGTTTAATAAATAAATAGTCATTGTTGGCTGTTCTGAGAGACGCATGCATGACTAAAGTAGCGAGGTGTGTATTTTATAGTAAAGTTGTTAATAAGTTCGGTGACATCAAAATTGATTGATAACGTATGCTTAATTATGTATAATTACTAATATATCAAATGTTAAATGTCTTCGTGTGTTAATAAGATCGCATTTTCAATACGAGGTGCCACAAATAAGTCTATTATTTTGGAGGGCACGAGGTAAAAATATTCAATCTCATCGACACACCAGGATGTCATCATTATCACTCAATAAATGTATTCTACTTACTAACATAACTATAAATAATATAAGCATCTATATCGAGTGTAGGATATAAATCTTACATGTCACCAAACAAATGATAATGCACCTTAACGTAATCCTATTAAGAATAGTTTTTATAAATGACTTCGTAATCATAAGACCATGCTCTTAGTAGATACTTTGACAGAGAGCAGCGCGATGGTGCCTCCTATTGTAAATGCTCTAGGCACTAATGATATTAGTGCCGTTTAAATATTATGTGATCACCACATTGGCATTTGAATCGATGATTAAAAAATCTCACTAGGTAACTTTTCATTGAAATTTGAACTTTAAGTAAATGTATAAGGAACGAAATAAATCTGAGTATTTAAATGCACAAACATATATTCGCAGTTTTCAAATTTCATTGAACTAAACAACAATAAATCTTAATATTACTACGAACATTTTGAGTAGTTGCGAAGGATGTGTCCCAAATCGCTATTATACAATCTAAAGATTTTTAAAACACCATTTAAAAGTGTATATTATATACTTTTAACACTTTCATTTGATTTCATTGGGTTCATCCAATAAAAAAAAAATTCGACGAAATTTTCATGTCATAGAAAGATTTATTGATATTAATAGTAATATTTATAAATCATTACCAGTGTATGTTCAGATTTACCTTCGACTTATCATATTTTACAATGACAACATACATAAACATCAATTAGCATACAGTCTAATTTTAAAATAACGTAACATTAAATAACCATATCCTTTTATTGTAATGTTACAGTGTTGACATATTAATAAACGTAAAATTCGTTTCTGAGGCATTATATGCACATATATCATAATTGAAGTTATTTATCAAATTTATAACAATAATAACAGACATATTCGTTGAATTTATAATTAAAAAGGCCCTTTTAAGCCAAGTACGTAGCATCGTGTTGTTGTCTCGATTTTATATTATTCATAAAAAATAAACATTAATGGACGTCTAATGACTTGGACGTAGGTACATAAATTTAATTTTGAATCCGTAACTAACAACACATTTATTACATAGTCCTATTTACAAATAATATCAGTAATCATTGCTTGGATGAATGCAATACGATGTGACTTTATAAACTAAATATAAATAAAACTATTTAGCATATTAACACAACATTGACGTCATCCTCATCTTCCGCTAAAGTCCAATTTAATTTTATCGTTTTTACTAACAAGTGTCTGTGACATTATTAAATATTCTACTCTATTTTAATGGAAATAATACAATTATTTAAAGTATGTACTTATTATTATATTTAATGTTTAATTCAGTATAATTTAATAAGCTTCTGTTATGATCATCAGTTAGCAAGTTACACAAAACATTTTAATATTATTTTTAGTTATAACATTATAAATACATATAGACTAAACCTATATGCATAGTCTGTAAGTATTTATGGACTTAAAATACATGTTTTTAATATTGTTATACCTAATTGATATATAACATAAGACTTAATTAGACGATAATGTTATAATCATATAATCACAATGTTGTATGTAGCCGATAAATACCTACTTATTCGTTTAAAAATATTGAGTAAAGAAACTATTATAATCCAGACAAAGAGAAGAGATCCTTACAATGTAATTTTCTGCAGAATTTCTGATTTTTTTGTTTTTGATGTCCACACAAATTAATGTAATGCGACGAATGTTTATAGAATAAAAACAATATATTAACACTGTTGGAAATTAATTTTAATATGTATAAAAACAGCTTAAATCGACATTTAATTGTAAGTACATAAGAACGTAATTTTAACTTGGAAGTGTATAGATATGCATCCAACATCAAAAGGACCCCAAAAAGCTAGTGCTTTAAATTAGTTATCATCAATCAGTATCCATAATGTTTTAAATATGTAATAGGTATAAAAATATTATTTTCCAATACTATAAGTGACTAAAGTTACGTTAGTTAAGTTTAATTGGTAAATAAATGTAGTTCTGTACTACTTAAGTTTTAAACGATCTTTATTTTTATTAATAATAGGAAGAGAATCTTAATGTCAAAATATTTACTCATATTCATATTAACTATAAATCAATCCCATTTTTATGGGCATATCTATTAATATCTATTTAAAAAAAAATATGTTACTACGGAAATAAACAATAAAATAATATAAATAAATTTGCATTCCCATTTCAACTTAAGTGCTAAATTCATTCATCTGTCTAATACTCGTAGATACCTGCAGGGCCATTACATTTTAATTGTACAAAAAAAAACATCACTAGTAGAAAATTGTCGCCATACATCAATCGCAAGTCGATGGTTAAGAAATACAAAGCTAATTTGGTAGGCCTACTACAAATGATGGGTACCTTCTGTCATTGACACTTCCTCGGAAGCCAGAATATGTAAGGGTGCATATATTTATTACGTGGGTTTTTACTGTCTCCAATTCCCGCCTCCTGCGATGGGATATGATAAAACCCCTTCGCTCCCTAACGAGAAATCCTTGATATACTTTGTTTCATGCTTATTTCTTTAAAATAAGTTTCATTTCAATTTTCATTTAATCTTTCCCTCATTCATAAATGAAACTTGCCCACGTAATAAATAAATACGTCCTAGTAAGATCGTGTTCTCCCAATATTTTAGCTAATGAACTAAATTCAAATATTATAAAATAGCGTCATTTCTGTTTTTTCAATATGCAAATTCATTATTTTAATTTTGTTAAATTTATGTGTACGTATTAAATTTACTTGCTAACATTGACTTTACTGTTGCCATGGTACTACCACTAGAGATCCTGCATACAGAATGCTATTTCGAGCCAGTGCTCAATTTGGAATGTGATGATCATCACCTATGAATTAAATACTATATTGTATGGACATTATCATATTATTACACCATATTCTATAGGATGGTATTAATCATTACTATGATTAATACCTTTTGGAAAGTGGTAGCGAACTACTTCGCTACCACTTTCCAAAAGAAAACTAATTAAAAATTACAAGCTTACAATCTGAACGTACGTAGGTTTCCTTTGTTTTCGAAAATTCATCTTCTATCTTGTCTCTTAAAACATGTCATAAAATAACAGAAACGAATGTGTTAAGATAAATTAAATGTAAGTGTTAGAGGAATGGGATACTTTTTATGGAAAAATTGGGAATAGTATGTGTATAACTGTATCTTGTATAAGAGATTTGCGTCATGAGTAGTATATAATATAGTAATTGTTCATGCTATACCCCGTATAGTCTATGTGCTATACCTATTTTAGAACTGTCTTGTTATTGGCTGTCGCTGTTTGTACGTTCCGAATCGCAGTAGCAGCAGTTTGACATAATGGTTATTGAGCAAAAAGTAGCTCAATAATACATAAATAAGAAAATAAATAATTCTTAAGATAAAATAAATTTAACATATTACGCAGTTTTGTATTTCATATCTATTTGAAAGCTTTTAGTAAAATATCTAAAAAAAATAATTAGTATATTTATTTTTATGAATTACTAATATCATTATGAATTAGTTATAAATACTTATAAAATTGCCTATCAATTTGAAAATAAGGAAAATGTTCTTTTAATTAAGACCATTTTAAATTCGTTACGAAATTTTTAATGTATCATACATCCTATCCACATATATACGCATATAAACTAAAGTAGGCAAAGCATTAGACATAATTATTACAAAAATAACATGCACCTAACATTTAATGTTGAAAGATTTACCCTCACAAAAATTCCATTCGGTTAGATCTGTATTATCAAATTCTTAAAAAAAAAAATAGAACCGCAGGTATTAATCTATGAAAGAAAGACTAACTTAGAAAAGTACTGTCCTTAATCTATGGGCTTCAACCATATAGATTTATTTAGCGATTATAAGTAAGGCGGTTAGCGTTTGTAAATATTGAGCTACATGGCGTTCAGAAGGGTTTTCAACAAGTCATGGTCCCATACAATTGAAAATGGATATTGATCGAGTTTCAAAAATAATACAAAAACTTTTACGTAACTTTTTTTATTTCTGAACGGTAATATATAATATTAATCGCCTAATCTCTTGATGAGTATGCATCTTTAGTCCAAATTTTGTATGCTGCTTACAGATATAGATTTAAATAAATGTTGCAACTGTGTGTACTTTACGTCCCAATTTTGGCTCAAGAACCTCAATCTATATTAATATAAACGAGTATGTATGTAAATTACTAATAATTCCGATTCGCACGGAGAGAAAATTTTGAAGTTTTTTGTTCAATAAGTATGCATTAAAAATTTCAATAACAAAATCTCCTTAATGTTAAGTATGTATGTAATTTGTTATATAATAAACATCTTACCTTCAACGTAGCTTTTTAAATGATAATTCAGAAATATTTGATTGAATGGGACTATATTGTTGGTAATCCTTCAGGAACTCGTACGACCAAGGCGCGTGCGGCGTACGTTAGGCATACATTAACGTTTTTGGACCAAGGTTTTTGCATTTTAATCGCCGTGCTACTGCGACTCTGAACACATTTTTTGTGATATGTAAACGACTCTAGAATAAGTTTAACCAAACTATAATAGAATGTTTATTAAATGAGCCATTTGTTTTATTTATTCACTATTACTGGATATATTGGATTATGAATCACTTTTTGATACAGTCCAAGTAGGTGTAATAAATATGTTATAGGATATCAATTATTTCCAGATAAAAATTGTAAACGAGGAGTACATTACCACGTAATATATAGTTCAATAAGTAACAAATTGTTTAAAAAACTAACTTCAAAAGTGGCGAAACCAGTTATTGTAATTTAAAAACTACTAAATCGACTTTCATGAAACTTCTACGAAATCAATACATCAATCCCTCCTTTCAGACAAAAAAATAAAAAAAAAGTAACAACCAAATCGGAGAACCTCCTACTTATTGTAGCCGGTTGAAAATTAGATACATACATCTAATATAAACGAAGCTATAAGAAAAACTAGTAGAAGTAGATTATTCTTTTAGTACCAATATATTATTTATAATATTGTTGAAATGATTAAATAAAACGACATGTCGTCTGAAACCAAATTTTATTTCAAGACTTCATAATGCCATATTTATATATGCGTCTCTCTAACAACACGAAACACAGTAAACCATCGATAGAACGTCATATTATTATTGAAAAGTACTCCATTTTATCCAATATAATCACTACAAAAGTTATTGAATTTATTAATAAAACATTTATATAACAGACAATTATTCGTTACTCTACTCATAAATTAATAACACATTTCATAATACTTGCGGAGTACGTGAACGTAGATACATATGGGCTCTTACTTACATCCGGTTCCTACCAAACATACATCGATTACTATATCAAGTACAAAACTTGTTGTGATACATGTATAAATAATTACTTTTGCTTTTATATATGAGTCGACAACTGAAAGAGGAGTTAAAAATAATTGTGATCATTTTGGTATTCTATAACAATTAATATTTCCAATAAGTTAAGTGACAACTTTCTATGGGCATCCGTAAAAGGAGCAGAGTTAACAGGAGTTAATTTAGTACTAACAACTAACTTCTAACAACATTAACAGCAATTTATATCTAAAGGTCCATTTTACAGATGCCAACGGAAAACAATCAATTAGACGAATTGCAAATAAATATAAATTATTTTAGGTTGCTATAACTAATTATAAGGGTGGCAAATTTATACGCCACGTTCCTTGCCCGAATTCCGATGTAATATCTACGTATCGATTCAAACCAGGAGGCTCATTATAAACGCCTAAACCTGATAAATATATTAATTAAATTGAGCTGCCCTGTATGGTAATAAAACCATAGACAAATCTGGCCTGCTTGTAATCACGTGACTTAAATCTATCAAATTTTGAATAAACAGTTTGTAACAAACCCGCAAGTCCATAATTCTACTAATTTACAAATAGTTTAATATATAATAAAATTTCGATAGAAAAATTTGACACATTTGAACTACTACCTAATTGAGACTGTTGGCTTATATCAATGCGTTTCCTTTGCAAATTCATTTAAATTATTAATTTAATTTTTATATATTTCATGCAATCCTAATTGCTTACAAATACTGGAGATTTTGCAACTTTAGTTGCATGACTGAGATCAATGAGATGTGATGTGATGTGAGCGATATTGTAATCCGCCATACTACTAACAAACAGAATCAAGGTCCTTAGGTACTGAAATGTTTAATATGACCTGTTCATAGCATCATAAGAAGTTAATATCTGCACAAGTTCCTACAACTATTCAATAATTTGATATTCATATAAGGCCAGGACCATTTTATGGATTTTCAAAACCGATAACAAATATGAAGTATTGAATTGTTCCCATTGAAAACATATCATGTTTATGACATATATATTTTGTGTGAAACGTTTATCGCGACATCAATACAAGCAAATATGTTTTCTACATGTATCACAACATACATAATCAAATCGAATTATGTATATTTGGTGGAAATGCGCTGGAATGAATCGCCCAATATGATCATTTTAGACATTTAATATTGGAATAAATCTTTTTGTAAAAGTCATAACACTTAACTTTTTTAACGTTAATATTTTATTTATATAATTAATAAGAATCAGAATTCGGGCATTGGATTTTGATTGCATCAATCAATGTACTGTGAAATTGCATATCAGTAGTAAGTATGCTGGTTAGGTCAAATTCGTTGCAAAGAGAAAAAAAATATATGTTACAAATATTAGAGTACAATAAATGTTTGCATATTATATATAGATAATAGAATAAACGAATTAGACCTATCATTAGAAAAATTTGAGTATCAAGGTAAGAACACAATTGTATTTTAATAATGATGATGTTTGACGTTAGTGAAATATACACAAACTCTTAACTAATTAACCAATAGAAGTACTTCTGGATAATGACTCTCTAAAACTGTCTCGAACGCCCGATTAACATTAGAACACTCGCTTTAATCGGCTTAATAGAACTTGAATGTGAATATTTAGTTTAATCCTATTAAAGTAATTGTATGCATATAAATGTAACTAGATTTTTTTACTTAATACGCCGTCTAGAAGCTATTTCATTGGATTTCCAACTTCCTAATCCAAGCGTACAAAGTCATGGGCAAAATTTAATTAAAGTAAATATAACTTGTGAGTCGACATGAGATGTCGTTTACCAATCGATCGTAAATAGTTATAAAAATATTGCTGTCGGCGCAAAATCCAAACAAAATCAGTAATCACTTGAAAGTGTGTTATAGTAATGTAAACCGGGCGTAAAGCGCTTCGTGAACTGTCTTATTCATAAACTAAAACATTGTACAAACCTATTTTAAATATTAAAGTGTTCTATTACTTTCTTTTAAATTGAGAATTTAATAGAAAAGAAAAAGACAAAGCACTAAAATAGATGAACAAATAGGTTTGCTGCTTTTATGAATGAAGGGGCTCAATCTTTTGTGTCTGTCATATATTTTATTTATATTTATAGTATATATTGATAATTCATTTCTAAAAGGTTCATAAGTAATTTAATATGTTTAATATTAAATTTGAATTGTAAATAACCCAATCAACGTGCACATTTGGGAATAACATTCGATTAGTTTCGGACCATCTGCGATTACGGTTCATATTCGGATAGAACATTCTCGACAAATATATAAGAGTTTTTTAAAATAAAAAAACACAAAATCGACCAGCGTGCGAAAATGAAACCAAGTATATACGGTTTGGGGTAAATTTTCCGTAAATTATGTGACAATAAAATAATTATACTATCAGTCAAGACAAGAAATTAAAAACAGATTTTTACACAAGAAACTAGAGACAGATTTTGACACAAGAAATAATAGATACACTTTAATACAAGAAATTAGAGACAGACAATTTAGAGATTATTAGAGCATGAAAGAATGGAGACGTTGATAGGGGCCGCTCTAGATGAACGTGTATTGACCAAATAGGTGACGTGTAGAAAACCGAAACTAAAAGTACTCGTAACCGGCGAGCGTGTATGAAAAGATTAATGAATGTAGAGGAAACGAAAGAAATCTGTTTAAATCGAAGCATTTGACCTTCCATTGTTTCTGTTTACCCTAATGAGAGACAGACGTTACATATATGTATGTAATTAGTGACAAATTTTTAGAGACAGATTTAGAGAATAATTATACAGTGAATACAATACCAATTCTGAAACTCTATTCAATATTTATTTTAAAATTAGTAAATTAAAATACAATTAATTCATTTTAGAAGTACTGACGTTCCAGAATTGGATATGAGAAATTCACAAGTTCCGAATGACGGCAAACAAACAGCTTATCTGGCCGCGTCGCCATTTACCAATACATACGAACAACATTCATCGCGTTCTTAACTAACTTTTTTTAAACAACAAATTGTATATTAAATAATATTAATATTAACACACATGTCAATCTGTACGCATCACTTGTTAACCATTTAACGTTACTATCAATATAAATCACAATTACTTAGTACATGAAATTACAATTACTCAGTTAAGAAAATGAAATTAGGTACTTACCATACCATATTCGGCCAGATTACACGCATAATTGCGAGTTGGGGCCGACGGTTAAGCAATGGTCATCATCACAAAGGGGGCACATGGATATATAATATGCACAGGTATCATAGGCCTTTAAATAAACTTATATTTGAGGAAAAATTAAAACTGTACTTTTCGTCCGGTATTAATTTCATATTAGTATCGAGAACATGCATAACGCTCCGTGCATAATGTAACATAATGTTACATTGGCACGTTGTCGAATTGTAATAAAAAATAAGAATAGTCGAATATAACATTATATTCACTTTTCTACTATACATACATAGTGTAAATTTAATATGAATTAAAAATCTGGATTTTTTTACGAATACTATTTTCACAAAAGGGGTAAGTATAGAGAACTTGCCTTGTAATTGTGACAAATAATGTTACATTACATGAACATGTGCCCGTGCTGTCATACTACATCTTAGCGTGCTCATTGACCCTTGTATTTTATACCCAACGGAATCTGTCCATATAGCCCAATATCTACTGGTACATTAATTCCATTAGTTCCACAGAACGATATCCCAAGATACATGCGCAATATATATATTATTTGCGCCGTAAGTAACGAACTTTTTAATCTTACACTATCTTAGTATAGTTATAATACATGTACCTAAATTTCAAGTAGCGCACATTGCTTCTATATCAACAGTTAATCGTTACATTGATTAGACGCAAGTTTTATTAGACTTATAAAACGTATTAAATAAGTACGTCCGTAGGCATCTAGGAATTGGCGACCAGAGAATATATAAATAAAAAATTATATATACCAAAAAAAAAAGTAAAATCTGCTCTATGTTATTTTACAAATAAAATAATAATAAATATCAAATATAATCCTTTTTTCGACAAGTTAAAGAGTGCCAAAAACTCCATGCAAAAGTATTTGACCTTATATCACAACCGCCTCCTAATTAAACCAACAAACTTAATAAAGTTCATAAACCAAGAAATATAACCAAAATGGAGCCTGCGACGTGAATGACTTTTGAAAAAATCTATCGCGTGTACTCTATCCCGTTTATCTGCGGATTAGAATAGAAGAGTGATTAAAAGAGATGAAAGACATCAGGGAATCATTAATGCCATTTATACTCAGCGATATCAATTGAGAATCTACCATGGTTAAAATTGGCATCAAATCTATTTCACGTTGCAAACTCCATTTTGATATTGCAATAAATCATAATGCGAGATAAATCAGCTAACACTAAGTAATATCTATATTCATGCAGAAGAATCACATAGGTAATAAATCTTGGCACTCGTTTTGGTATTTAAATTCACTGAGTGTCTGCGACCGCTACGGGTTCCGGGTCGGTAGGAACGAGAGTAACGGGTATCGGATCCGGTGAAGGCGGTGCCGCCTCTGATAGGATTAGCGTAGCATCTGTGAGGGCCGCTTCTTTATCCGAGGCAGTAGTCTCCGTATCGGAGTTAGGGTCCCCATCAGCGCACGTCGCTTCATCCTTTTCCTCTATGGAGGCGTGCTCTTTGCGTAAACTAGTACCGCCACACTGCCCCGTCGGGCGTAACACGAGGTACATAAGCAAATCTGAGAGTGATATTATACCTATCACTTTGTCTTCCTCGTCCACTACTACTAAACGATGTACCTGGAACCAAATAAAAAGCGTCATAAATACCATTCTATCAAACATGACACCACTTTCTATAAAAACATATATTGTGTAATAAATACATATTACCATCAAGTTATGAATGAAAAAGTTAAAGATCTAATAAATTGGCTATTGAATCGATTTATTTATTTCTTTAAGTGAAATCTTAATTTAAAACAAACAAACAAATAACATCAAAATTAAGTTTGCGGTAGGAGTTAGGTTTTTATAATATTTTAATGGTATATATACACCTTTCAAATTACCCTATACGAAACCATTTAAAAACATAAAAAATTAAATTAACACTGTTGTAAAAAGCGTTCATAACTTTCGCTTGCCGAAGTATGGCAACATCGCAATTATCTGTCAAGTTTAAAAACAATTCAACAATTTTTAATATATCTGACAGTTTAAAAGTGCTCTGTTAGTGTACTAAAACATCATCATCTTAATACCCTTATCCCAATTATTATTTGGGGTCGGCCTATGTTTTGTCCCTATCAGCGTACTAAAATGTTGCATAAAAAAAAATATTTTTTTTTGTTACAAAATTTTTCAAACACATTTTTGCCATCAAAATATTTTCAGTGATAGCTTAATAAAGACATTATTGCATGATTAACGTTTTAGCTCGCTAACAGAGCAATTTTTAAATAATCAATCAGAAACATTAAAAATACTTTAAAAGTTTTAGAAAGTTGACAGATAACTGCATTTCGTTATGAACCCTCATAATGCCAACAACAACCACCATCAATAATACTGTAAAGGGAATTAATATATATTACAAGCATAGAATTACTCCAAAGTTTTATAGGCTCTACTTAGAGTTTAAAAATAAAGTGCATGCATAAATATGCATAAAGAGATAATTATCATAATGTTCAAAATTAACCTCCTTAATAAAACTAAAACTTGCTACAAACCTATTTTAGTTATTGTTTTGTAATTTTCTTTTAAATTGACAATTTAGTGTAAAAGAAAAAGACAAAACCCTCCAATAGCTGGAATAGGTTTATGAGAAGTTTGACATTTTTATGATAATAATAACAATTAATATTACCTCAGCTCTCACTATCCTTTCCATGACATCGAACAGCGTCTCATCCAGCTTGCACTTCTGGACACCCTCGAACCAATCGTTACGATGCTCGTTAGCTGTCTTCAGAGATACGTCCAAATTGTTGTACGTCTTTTCCGCAGCTAAGTTCTGAAATACAAGATTATCAACACGTATACATGTATCTCGCAGCTCTGCCTTTAAACTAGAATACAACATGGTAGCTGCATACCAGCAGGATTAACAAGTGAGACTTATTCATGAAAAATATTCTATACAATGGAGATATTTCACAAATGCACACTTTTAAGAAACAAAAAGCTAAAATATTAAAAATATTATCACATCTCTTCTTACAATTTAACAATTTTAAAATTACATGGCACGCAACACGCAAAATAACAACCAAATGCATCTGTGTTCCAATGAAGTACTTAGTAAATTAATTTTATTCTATTTACCTGATAATCGTTACATCCTTTTTATTTATTTTTTGTGATACTGAACAATATCTGGACCCAAAAAAAGCTCTTTTCTGAAACACTCGATGTTATTCATCTTTATGTACTTATCTTAAACCATGATCATGTCAGCCATTATCTGTCAACTGCTAAACATAAGCCGCCCCAATAGACTCCCAATAAGATCTTCGCCATCGGTTGTCGGGATGCTCTATGAGATATGCAACCAGCCATTGCCACTTCAACATGCTTATCTATCATGCTTATGTTTGTGACTTCTGATTCTATTGCGGATATCCTTATTTCGGATTCTGTCACGCAAAGAAATCTCGAGTGTAGCACTCTCCATAACTCGCTGATTAATTTTAAGCTTTTGCATATGGACCACCGTGTTTCGGTTCTATAAGTCATCACTGGCAACACACACTGGTTAAAGACTTTCGTCTTCAACCAGCGCGTTTTTTAAAGACTATAAACCCTAACAGATTAGTCAGAGACATTTATCGACTGTTGTCGCTGTGGTAAACATTACACTCGACATCGAAAAAAAGAAATCTATATAAATACTTACAATGACATCGAACTTAGCGTAGATGTCCTTAAGACGACCCTCGGAGTCGATGAGCGGAAGCGCTGACACTCGACGGTTGACAAACTTCCTCAGTGCCTCGATGATGGACGTATCTTCTGTGGCCGTTTCTATATCATTCAACGTGCCGATGTTGAGCTCTCGCAGTTTACATTGAAGGTACGCCGGCTTTGGCAACTCGTTTATCTGTAAGGCAAAGATAAACATAGTATGGAAACGTCAGTATAGACTAACAAAGTAGTGATGAGCGATTGCTCTTTGATTACTACTGCATATCCGCATTGTACTTTTCCTTTTTTGCGCAAACTTACTTGTATTTTTAGAACAATAAGAAACCTGTTATTAGCCCTAATATTTTAAATATTAGTCTGTAAATATTAACTGTAACACCGTTGGTTTCTAATAAATAAATTACTAAGCATAAAGCTGAAACAGATATAAATATTGAGAGGCCACTTGCGGAATGTAGCCCACATTGACCAATACACTATGTGACTGCTGATCTGCGCTGACACTAATAGATCTCGTTCGATTTATCTATACTAATATTATAAAGAAAAAAAAAAATTTTGTATAAGAAGAAACTCAAAACAAAATAACCGATTTTCAAAATTCTTTCACCTACCTAACTTGCTAATCCAGGGCGGGTCGCTAGTTTCTAGTAGTAATTTATACGATTTTAACGGCCGCAGCATACTTATCGCGCAATATATACAATTAAGTTCAATATATACTTCTCTGCTTATATCATTATTATCATATTAGCTTTTAACTGTCCACCGCTGAACATAAGCCTCTCCCTCGGTGGGATTTGCCCGTAGTTGCCACGCTTGGCAGGCGGATTGGAAACCGCAGTTAAGCTTTGAAGATGTTTTAAGAGGAACGCTGCTGCCAATCCCTTGCTCTCCCTTAGTCGCCTCTTACGACACCCAAGAAAAAGAAAGGGATGGCCTGCTCTATGCCGGGACCACATGGGTCCATCTACTTATAAACGAGGTGTAAATTCATGGAAAAAAGAAAATTTACTTACATATAAAAATAGGAAACGCAGTATCCTCTTGTGTGTGAGTATGTAGAGCACGTTGCCGGTATCGGGGTCGATGACCGGCAACCGATGGATACGATTCGTTATTAGGATCCGGATGGCCTCGTACAGCGACGAATCCGGACCAATGGACACCAATGGCATCACGGAACCCTTCAGTACCTCTGTAAAAATACAACAAGTAATACAATTTAATGCCAATTGAAAACTTAGTACAAAAATCATTTATTGTAAGTTGAGATAATGAAACTGTGGTATTCGAGATCTAACTAGCCTTTGGGTCTACATAGGTATTTTAATTTGAAGAGTAGGACACGACAGTAAAATTTTAAAATACAAAAGTTTTTTTATAAGCTTTGAAATAGGGAGGGGGGGGGGTGTGAACTCCCCATTACTAACTATACCCTGTCAGGTCGACCTCCACGTCTGCTGAATTCAAGATGTATTCACGCGTTGGGCTAACTGAGCTGCCTTTTCACCCTCACCTATCATCCCTCGCTGGTGCCTCGCCAGTGTATACCGTTAGCGCACGCGCGGATACATTCCATTCTCGTCCATTAAAAAAAACGCTTAGAAATATTAATTCATATCCATGGTGCAGTCTGTGGGATACAATTTGCACTTACCATTTGTTGAGGCGTTAACTTATTTGCCGTTCCGAGTTGCGTAAACAAATACAAGTATGATGAGGCTAATATCCTCCTCTTATACTAGCTGTTGCCCGCGGCTTTGCACGCATGATGTTGGGTGTTGTTTCCCCTTTAAGTTGAAATTTTCACAAATCCTTCCTTAGCGGATTGCTTACTTTATAAAATAAATATATGTTTTCAAATTTCAACTTTCTCGACTTAGTTTTAGTTGTGCTTGACAGTCATTAGACAAAGGAATATTAAGTACAGATACAGGCCAACAATGAGATGTTGATTTATTTTCATAATGTGCATAAATTGAAACCCTTATAAATCCAAACTAAATAGAATTTGTACTATAAATAGTAAACACACTTAAATAAGCACATTTTGTAAATACTAAGCTCAGACTAATAATAGTTCTTTAATATAAAATATTTGTATTATTTTTTTTTATTTTAATTATTATTGTGCGAGTATCGCATTTGCCATTGTGTACAGACATAAATCATTTATTAACCCATAGATCAAATTTAGGCAAAATTTTATCCCAGTCAGTAAACCTATCTCGGTCACGCGGGCAAAGTCGCGGATGAAAGCTAGTAAAATTGTAGTTTAAAATATAATTAAAAGAATGTAAACCTCTCTAGAACATTACCAAGTTTGATATTACATGCAAGTATGTAATATTAATAATTGTATACCATCGTAAACAATGATTACGTCCTAATAAGCTACCGCTATAATGTATTTGTTGTCGTTAACAGAAGCTATTGAGGAAAAATCATTTATTTTCCTTGATCGTTATAATTATCTTTTTTTCTACTGCCGTGTTTCGATTTCTAAAAGCATACTTGAAACAAAGCAAATAATTGTAAATAATTAAAGGCCGTTAATAAGAGCATGATATTTTTACTTTCCATTTTTTAACTTTTCTTAAAATAGACATAACATTTTTCAAAGAATAATATTTTACTTAAGTTGCTACTTAATTTAATTTTACTGCTTGCGTAACTCTATTCAATTTGTTTCTGTCGTAATCCAAATATACATGCATGGCTGTGTTACAGTTTGAAAAGTGAAATAGTGCAGTGAAATTATTGGTACGGAAGCATAATACCATAGTCCTCAGATATGTCATTAGTGTATACAGGCTACGGTTACCACTTACCATCAAGTGGGCTGTGAGTTTGTATGCCATTCTAAAATAAAAATAATTATCATATCTTCAAGGAAATATGAACTCAGCGTATTATTATATTAGCGCATTTTTTTTTACCTTTTCGACCAATGCTCTTTTAAAATAAAAGTATATCTATGGAGCTAAGCAATTGATCACTAAAACTATCACTAAGAATCCTAGCTCTCTTAAAAACGTGAAAAAGCTTTAGTTTTTACCCTATATAACATTAAGATTTTTTTATGATACTTAGAATGACAAACAAGGAGTTTCATAAAAATTGTAATCTTACTAGCTAACCAGTAGATCACCTAGAAAGGATGTATGTTTTAGCTGTTATGGTCATAAAAGACGATATCAATATAGTGATGTAACTTACGGCGCCACGTCTCAAGCCTATGCTCCTCAAGTTCCTCCATAGTGACATTAGGACTCGTGTAGTACATCTGCAAGATCTTTATGAAGTCCGTGATGGTGAGCATGCCCACGAATTTTTGCCGCTGTGAGTCCCATAGCGGCGCGGCACGAACTCCTGTGGACAATATGCGAATTTCCGACGGTCATACACAATTATTTAAGTGATGTTTTTGATCAATTCTCGCGGAGAGGATTATTAGTAATGCTGAGTACTACTACTGGTAAAATACGTCGTCGGGTCAAGCTCCATTTGTTCTCCCGTGGAAAGGATCGTAGTTAATACTTAGCGGTTTCGTCAGGAAGGACCACATTATCTGATTTCATCCTCAATTACCATCAATTGCTGGTGCTCTACCAAAATAAATTAATAGCACAGAAGATGTAAATTTCTGCTGCTATATACGTATATGTTTTAATTTTTCATTACAATCGTTTCCGTGAGCGTTACAGCTATCTCATTACTAAAGTCCAATTTGATATTCTAGTATAAACCTACTTTAAAAGTATAGACTGATATAACTATCATCGTTTATTTACTTTCACTAAATGCAGTCTTAAATTCTTTCACTAGTGGAAAACTACACTATTCTAAACTATTTATATTTACTCTACAAATGTTATTTTGCCCCTTACCGCCGTTTTCGTTTTCTTATCAGGTTAAAACGATCCTATCTCTCAGCTTAGGCCAAACAATATACATTTACAAAATTTTATTACAATCGGTTGAGCGGTTTCGGAGATTAGAGTGAAAGAACATCGTGACACAAGATCTTTATACATTAGGATTGCTTACCAGGTGTTCCTCCTGGTAAATATTTGAATTTATGCATTCTCTTATACCAACAGTGTCTAATTAAATACTTTATAGTTAAAATCCATCTATTTTAAATAAATTAATCATCAAATCAGTTATCTATTCAATAATATGACAAAATATTAATAATTGAGTCATATTTCGTTAAATATAACATAAATCTTATGAAATCTAGAATGGGAAACAATCTGACAGTTCACCTGATGGAAAATGGTAACTGTCGTCTACAGACATGAACATGTACACAATATATAACAAATAATATGTCTATCTAAGATATAACATACCATGGACATAACAGAGAGTACTGTGTCGCCCATGACACCCTTCATGCGTTGCCATTCCAGAGGACAGAGGTATTACAATGCTCCTGTACCCCGTAATCATTCTATATATCCTAGCGTTCAGTATGAGCAACAGACTTATCAAAAGCCAACATTACATTACAATCTCCACTGAACCTATACCTACATTTCACAGTACACTAATCTAATATATAACAAAAACACAATTATCTATATGTAAGTGAACACAAAATCACCTCCTTAGGAAACAATACGAACCAGATCTGCAGTGGAGACTGTACAATTAAATTTTCCAATAAACGAACCTATAGACAATATTTACAACCATTGCTTATATTATTATAAATAGACGTAAGTTTGTACTTTAGTTACTTCTTTTGTTCTAATGACTCAACTAATCTTCATGAAATTTGGCATAAACAGTATTTAACATAGATATCTTAGGACTACTTTTTATCCCGAACTCTGTCTTTTTCCAATCGATAAGGTTATGTTAATCTCGTACTTATATATATATATATAGTATATACTATATATACTATATATATATATATATATATATATATATATATATATATATATATATATATATATATATATATATATATATATATATATATATATATATATATATGTAATAAACTATCTTTATTGGTGTTGAATTGAGATTACACCATTGCGTACAGAATATTAACGCTTAGTTCAACACAAGGGGATCCTGTTATGCATTGCCATATAAAAATAACATAACCGAAATAGGCACGTACAACTTCAATAAAGCAAAATTAATTGGATTTACTTAGGATCATAATATCAGGAATGATATACACCTTGGTCTCCATGGCAACTCGGCCGTATTGTTTCATATGGAGGTTCCAATCCTCGAAGCATTCACAGCTGTATTAACATAAACCATAATGAATATTACATGATTTTATGTTGTGTGCACTTACCACTGCAACTAACCTAGGTATTCGCAAAGCAGAAACTGTATTGTACATAACTCGCTTTTAATATATACTTAAACACTACATTGTTATACATTCGCACAGCTATAATATTTCGCTAGAATGATATGTAGCAGCCAAGTAAAACATTGGATGAGAATAACAATAAAATATATATCAAAATCGAATCATATAGGACAACATAAATAAACGAAAAAAAAATGTAATTACGTATAATATATTAAATAAAAAAAACTCACATATTAGTAAACAAATGTTTAGCGACTATAAGTAGGAACGAGGTGTAATTTGTAAAATAAACTAAACGTTTGACCAAACAAAATCACTCCGCATCAAGTTTTTTTTTTTTTTGTTTTCGCTCCGATGAAGTTCAGACAAAATAGACGAGCAACTAATACGACATGTTATTATGTTGACGTCATATTGCAAGCATTTTGCCAATACTTTTAGTAAATCAATAGCTACTAAAATGACAACGTCATATCGGTAACAATGAGAGACTAGCAGTATGTATATTTATTAATTTACAGTTACAAACATTATGTGAATCTGAATTACAATGTGTTTAATTAACGAGACAAAATATTTCTATGTAACCACCTGTAGGCATCTACTTGCTTTTCAATTGTAATTGTTACCTTGACTGCTTTGTGAAAAGCCAACTTCATATTGTATTTGTATTAGGAGAACGATAGTTAATAATACGAGAATGTCAGGAGCTCATGTTAGTATTTAAAATTATGAAATAATTTTGCCATACTTCTACAGAGCAAAATTATCCATACATAGAAATTAAGGATCCGTCACAATACCTTAAAGGGGAAGGGTAAATAAGTCACTAATATATTAGATACTTACAATAATACCGTTCTAATCTACACATACACACATAGCACACGGACTTTGTGGACTTCCACAAAATGACTTTGTGCAAAAAATAAATAAGCTATGAAATAGAGGTAATTTCACATAGTTGCAACACTAACCGTTGTACACGAGAGCGAAGAAGGCTTTCTTCACTAGTAGCTGCGTGTCGAATACCACCAACTTCGCGGATGTCGGGATCAAATCGTAACACTTGTGGAACTTGAAGAACTTCACGAAAATCTGGGACTCGTCTTCTTCTGTAACAGTCATCGTAGAAATACAATTTAAAACAACCTTTCGATTTCAGTACCGGTATTGTTCATCGTCACAACATGACTGGACGTCTGATCGTTAACACTACAGTGAATTCGATGCTAAATAAAAAACCAGTGAGCGTTATAACAAGCAAAAAGTAATTGTAAATCTAAATCATCAATTGAATATCGACCTAATGACTATAAACACAAAAGGTATTATTGAACATACATATTATTATAGTCGTATTTGATGTGTCACACATGGATCGTCTCGTAGTAGGTACATAAATTCTAGGATATTTATAGGTGCAGATGCACTTCTTAATTTTGTATTCACTGAGCCGTGTCTGCACATATAGCATATGGAAAATAAACACAATACTTATAAACATCATTCAGCGTGATCGAACCTGATCATCTTCGAAATATGTTCATAACTAACTTGTTAAAAGATAACTAAATATTGTCAATATTTAATTTATTTATTATTTAAGGAAATTTATGCTACACCAGAAGGTTTGTACGTTATCGTCTGCACTGAATACCTGCGTCTTATTTATTATTATTATTTATTTTTATAATAGCTGGTCAAATTGATCATACTTCGCTGAATGGTAAAGCACCAGTTTACTCAAATGGGAGGATCACCAACACAACTTTCCGTATTATATTGGTGATCGTCACCTTGATAGTCTGTGCCGTTTCACGTCCCGCTTTAATGCCACGGAATTGTGGGAAGGGGAAAAAAGGTGAGCAGGAAAAGAATTTCATTATTTAATAATTCAACAACCTTGATATAAAGTCGGAAAGGAAGAAAGAAGAAAAGGCACTGAAAATAGAACGCATTTACCCAAATTTTGCACTCTAACCATTCATTGTGACATGTAACCACAAACATACCGAAAAGTTGTTAAAAATTTTGTAAATCTATAACATCTAGATGTGCAAATATTGTCTTATTTTATGGTATTTATTTATTGTTTAAATTTTGGACATTTTGGGACAATTATTAGAGATTGTGCATCTAATGTATTTTAATGTATCACATCAATGTTACGAGTATAGGGATAAAAGGCTGCGAATTTTTCAGTGCGCGCACTTAGCTCCTGTACCATGTATGGGTTGGTGTTGTGCAGGGCACATATACTCATATGAAAGTGAGAGGGAGGAATTGAATTAAAGGGCCCTTCAAAACACTCTCTGAGATAAAAACGATGAAAGACGCTCAGGCTACCTGTAGCCCACTGTGTCACATCAATAATGTTAAATCTATTACCAAAATAAATACTTTTATTTTATCGAATTGATTTTCATATCTATAAAGCACTTGAAATGGCTCAAATGAGATACCAACGTATGTATTATCTATTAATAATATAGATAGTACGACGTTGTAATCTGTCGAGTGCATCCGGAAGATACTGAGCAAATCCGTCCCAAGGTTGTTTGTGTAAAACCGCTACACCCTGTTAGGGATCCGAAGCTTCACTATTTTATGTATTCTCTGCCACCAATTAGACATATTCCGGTTTGAAGGATAAAATATACTAGTAAATTTATTGAGTATTAAATATAAAGAGAACTATCTGCGTCACAGTGCATTATGTAATGTATCAACGAATTCTAATATTTATAATATTTAAGTATAATTTTATAAACAATAACGCTTGTTTTCTGAGGAAGTGTAGTGATAACGATTTGCACCCCATATATCATATCCTGTCGCACAGCGAGTCTAACAAATTCTAATCTCCACAGCATTTAAGTATAATTTTGTTGACAACACGGCTTTGCTTTCTGAGAAAGAGCAGCGATAAAATTAAGTTTGTATATCTCTTTATTCATTATACTACATACTGCCACATAGCAAGTCATAGAAAGCTTTCTTATATACATATAAACTATGACATAACAGAATTTTCTGGAGTAAAAGTTAAAAAAAACACGTTTTGCTAATCATATAATAACGATAAGATTACCATAATGATAGGCCAAAATCCCATTATAATCAACAATTAGAACTAGAGTAATTATAAAAACTATACGAATTGATTTCATCAATAAAAATAAAACAGAATTAAATTAATAGAAAATTAATTAATATAATAAATAAATTAATTGTTAAGTTTAAAAATAACACCAAAACAGCTATTTTTGATTATGTTATTATGAACGTGACTACATTTAAAGAAAAATAATTAAAATAACAAATTGATTTTTATGCATATATTATATTACAATAACAATTTTTTTCATGTTATGAGTACGAGTATAAATATGTATAACACATACGTTTACTATTTCAAAAAATAAGTAAGCTACTCTCACAACCTTTCATCGAATATCGAAATACATAAAACCAATAAAAAATATGAAGTCTGTTGAAAAAAATTATATTTTTTGCTTAACCTTGCATGTCTATGCTTCCGATAAACGTTTGGTATAACAATTTCACGCATCAAGGCAAGCAAGATACAGCAACTACAAAAATTGTAAACAGTTAAATACTTTATTGCCTTAAGCTAGTAATTGTTATCATGTGGTATGTGTGTGTGCGTGTATGTGTGTGTGTGTGTACAACTTGCATATAGACAATAACATGGGCAAGAAATCGGTCACAAGTTACATGGAAACGATATCTTGACACATCAATTTATAAATGAAAATTACATCTGTCATCTAGTGAAAATAAATACTTTTCTCAAACTAACATGGGTCGGAAAACAACAAAGAGAACTCCTATACTAATTGACAGCCGGATGCACCCTGTTAGCATTGTAGACTCAAAATCTTTCGTCTTCTTTCTAATCACGTTTCTTGGAAGTAAATCTTCAAATTCACTCCTTGAAGAGGGTGCAAATAAATTTTATTTCAACCTGTAAATTGTGTATTATGAGGATGACAAAATATACAATATAACGCTCATGACCTTTTCAAATATTGCCATTCGGTCAAATAGTTACATTTCAACCACGACAGAAATAGCTTCACTACCTACTATCCACGTATATATTTTATATATATAGAGGATTAAATTATATATGCTACCGTAGAAATTAATCAGAATTGCCTACAAGACACCATACGTTACTCAGTAATCATTAGAATGAATCACCAAGAAGTGACATGTCTGTATTGAATTATTACTGACAAGCCCTAGCTGTTTCTGAACGATATTATTATCCACTCCAACAATGTGATTATAATAATTTACTTTTAGACTATAAATGTATCACCTTATCCTCAAGCTAGAATACCCTGTGTTATAAGGGACTGGATAACGGACATCTAGGAGCACAACCCAGGACACCCAGACTCGAGCCAATTCAGAAATGTTTGTAGCCTAAATTGGCCCAACTGGAAATCGAACACGAACGCAAAACAACGTGCCTACCAGGCACCTCTGAGGTCGTTAGATATTGGAATCAAACATTAAGACAAGATTTTGCTCGACATCGATCAGAAATTTTCAAATCATTGCTAACACGACAATAATAAACTAGAAAATATACAAATTACCTATTATTATTATAAAAAATACACTTTCTTTTACATAGTTGTCCAAAATGAAGCGCATGTAATGCTTAGTATGAGTAATGAGTATATATATGGCTTTTATCTGTTTCCTTTACTGAGCTTTCAAACTAAAGAATAGAGGGATTAAAATAAGCACTTTACACAAAACGTAATAGGAGTCATTTCGTATAATGTTCCGTGTTGAATAGTCAACTCGCGCTAAGGGCCCAATATTAACTCGGACTGGTGAAGTTTCATCGGCGGGTTATACGAAATTAATCGTATTATAATTCACGAATAGTGAGTTTTCGAAACCCTTAGTTGTCAATGCATTTTTCTGTTAGGTATGTGACTAAAAGAATTACGCTTTTATCTAGAATGCACATATAGTTTGATCGCCGGCAGTGCAAATCGGTTATGCGATACGATGCCCAGTCAACCGATAATGCACTGACACCACAATCAAGGTTGTATGGTAAAGTCAAGTTGGATAATTAATTAACTTGACAGCAGAACGTATAGTGTTAATATAAAGTAAGTTAATAGGAGGCACAAATCTTTTTGACGTTTTTCAATTCGTTTCTTTAAGGAAAATATATTTAGTTTAGTTGGTACACCGCTCCCTTACAAGAATGCTAATACAATTTCAGCTGTATATCCGAACAGATATTATTATATATTAGTTTCTTGGTTATTCCATTAATGTATAACTCATTTTGAATTTTAAAATAATTTTATTATAATTTAATATTATACAATGAGTTGTTGCCTAACCCAAATGAATAACTTTGCACAAAACAATCCGTTTCGACTTTGACATATGACGATCCTAAAAATAATTTTTTTCATTACGAAAAAAATATGCAAATCGGCCTAAATGTCTCACAAAAATCTGTGCATGACATATACCCAAGTAAAAAATACTACAAAATGTCCTGCCTCTTATCCTTGTCGAAAAAGATAACGACGAAACAATTTTTGTCGTTACAATTTTCAGAATTATTTAAATTCACTTTCAGAAATTCAACGTTAGGTAGTTTTAATTTCGCACAGAAACACGAGCTTTTTTTGGCGTTAAGACTACAATACTGTTGTACTAATTTTGTTTGTTATGAACACTTATATTTAGTAGCTGCATAAGTAAAAGGAGATAACGTATAAATATGAAAACTGTAAAATATCGATTATCCACAATAACAAAGCGTGAAATTGAAATAAATTAATATTTTTGTATGCATGTAAGAAAAATACGCAGTTAAGTTGATGAAGAATACTAGGTATTCATAAAACAAAATAATTTATTGTGCTTCTTATTACATTTAATTTTAATGTTTTCAGTAAATACACAAATGTAAAATTAAAATTTATGTATATATTTAAGTATTATCAATAAATAAATAAATACTTATAATAATTTTCAATTGAACTCAATTACAATTATAGCCATATAAAACAAGCGACAGCGTACATTTAAGGTTTAATAA